TTGTAAGAACCATAAGCAAGATGCCAATCATTTAATAACTGAAGAAATCTTTGTGCAGGAGCATGATAGAGCTGTCAAATTTAAACAGAATTCGGATACGATTGAGACTGATTCTGAAGATCCCAGTCAGACTTTGAAGAGACCAATAGTACGTTCAATAGCACGGAAAAGATCTCGCATTTTTGTGCAGTCAAGAAAATCTAAGATCCCTTCATGCAACAAAGGGCAACATCAGGAGGAAAATGTTTTTGTCTTTGAAGGAAGGCCTGAAGGCACTCATGCTGCTACCAGTAGGGCTTCATCAATGTCTACAAGAAAGAAAAGGGGTGAAAGGAGTTTCAAATTTCAGCCACGAAAAATTTCTTTTCTTCAAAAGGAAGACAAGACGACAACTTTTCCTAATCCAACCGGGATTGAAGAACTGGCACCTCAAGATAAACCCTCTTCTTTTAGAGAAGTTCAGGGTTTTCATAGCTCTCCGGCTAACCCTGTTATTGATGAAAAAGTTGTACGGAAGGAATTCAATCAATTTCCACATATGGACAGGACACTGTTGCGAGAGAATATTCATAGTCTAGCAGATTATGGTCCACAAGGAGACACTGACAATCCATTCCTGGAAAAGGATGTAGACCCACAGAGTCATATAGAAAGTCCAACTTTTAGAATGAAGACGCCTGTGTGCAGTTCGCCTAGTTCAACTCCAAAAGCAGATAAAATAGTTTGTGAATCTTCAAGTCCTGGCTCAGCAGAGGAAATACTTTCTACGAGAAATATTTGTAGCTTCAGGAAATTGCGGACTTCAGAAGAGGATCGTGACAGATCAAATGTAACACCACACCTTTCAGTATCCTTGTTTAGTGGGTGTAGGGTTTATCATCAACTATCATCTTCTTGCAAGTTTACTAGGTGTAGGGTTTATCATCAACTATCATCTTCCTGCAAGTTTACTAGGTGTAGGGTTTATCATCAACTATCATCTTCCTGCAAGTGTCATGTTTGCAGCAGTCTTTGAGCTTCATTGTCAAGTCTCCATATTTTGTCTTTCCTTATTGACCTTCAGGAAGATGAAAAAGAGATTGAGCAATCTCCACTCGAGAATGCAGCAACTGGTGTAACAAAAAAAGTAGCAGATTTTGGGTTATCTGATTCATCATCCGAGGACACCAGCTATGAAAGCTCTGCAGAAGGTTTGCCTGCTTCTTATTCATAATTTGAAATTAAAATACACCTTACTTTCAACGTCATTATTACATTGTTCTATATTGAAATTCATCTACACTACACTATCTCCTGCTTGATGAAAATTACTTACCGATGCTTTGTTTTCATGGATTTTCCTATTCTCATTTAGATTTACTCATATAGATACCAGTCATTTGATAAATTTTGTGGTTGTTACCAGTGGAAAGTTGAAGGAACATACCTTTCATTAGGAAAGACTTCCAAGTTCCAGAACTGTATATAAGATCTTAAGTTGTTTGTCTCTTCTGGGTCCATGAAAAGATTGGGAGATATACGAGATTTGAAACTATCAGTTTATTTTCTTAGTTTGATGTTCATTAAGTCTGCCTTAAGTAACAATTTTTTTTGTTTTTCATAACTTCTTTAGATACCTGACTTGCATACACCCACATCTTTCATAGGCCACCATGCATATACCTCATATCCCTGATAGAATCTATATCAACAAATGAATCTGAACTGAACTTGTATTTATATTATTAAAACAACATTCTAATGTGTAGACAGCCCGTCTCTGTTAATAGGTTCAGTTTGTGTCACAATTATTCTTCTCTACGAGCTGAGAACTTTGTATGTTGAGGAACCGATGCTTGTTTTTCCATTTTATCTCCATTTCCTTTTCATTCATATGAAACTTCAATGTGTTGGTGTAGCTTCAAGTCAAAGAGAAACACTCTCTCCAGAAATCGCAAACATAAAGAAGTTCAAGTCTATGCTTCGTCCAGCAAAGAGGGCCCGCAGTGTAGAAAACCATGAATTTGATTTGAATGGTATGTTCTTACTCTTTTAAAGAAAATAGCTTAACTTGAAATATACGTGATTTTTGGATGTCAAACCTGTTTAATTGTCTCAGCATTGTGCTGGCATATTTATGCTTAAAGATTTTTGTCTAGAAATGTAGACATTAGAACAAAAGAAAACTAATAATCATCTAAATTGTCTGAATGGTCAGGGCCTGGAGAAAGTAGTTGGGCCGAGGAAACTTCAGTACCGAACGAAGAGGATGGGCTTGCAAGGTAATTTCTCCCCTCCCTCCTAACAGAATGAAAGCATCTTCTTCTTCTTCTCTCTCCCTTTTTTTTTGGGGGGGTAAGAATCAGCACACAAAATGTATCAACTGAAAGTCGTAAGTTTTCTCCTTTATATTCTATTTAGGGCCGTCAAACTGTTTCTCTCAGAGCTTGAGAAGATGAAAAATAAAATATCGTCAATATCTATTGAAAAATCTTCAGAGATTCTGTTGTCAGTTGCCGAGAGTATTCATTTGCAGTTGCAGAATGTTGAGTCTCAAATCCAAATGGACACGTAAGTTTATCAATTCATATTTCTGGTTTTTGTTTACGAGATAAAAAAATTTCTAAATTGATTTGCGACGGTATTTCAGGGTAAAGCTGTTGAGCTTTGGTAAATCAAGACGAAAAGTTCTAGAAACAAAATTTGAAGGTAGCATAATTATATGATGGGTTTTTAATTCATATGTCAATCTCTTTCTCAATTGGTACAGCTAACTTTATGAAATAGTTTTATTTAACTGTGTTTGCAAGCCTCTTCTTTTTATTTATTGGGGTGAATGTTCATCACCTGGACTAAATATTACTTGTGAGATATGTTCGTTTCCACCTTGCTTGAGAGCTCTACTTTTTAAATTGTTCATGTAATCTGAATTCATAAATCACGAACTTCCTTCTTTTGCTCACAAATGAACTTTCCAGCTATACAAACTAATGCCCTCACGGGTTATGTGTATCTCTAAAAGTCCCTAAAGAGATAAGACGGTAACTGATATGAGACATGAATCCTGTATATTCAGCATGTTTGGCCTAAATTTTTCTATAAGCTCTTCGGTACATTTATTGGCCGAGCAGATTTGGCCAATGGCTGGCTTACACTATGCTATTAATGATGTTTAAAATTCTTCTGGAGATCAATTTCATGACTTGTGTGGAGTAATTTTGCCATCTTTTGCATGGGTTCATCTTTACTTTGCTCCGTATATGCTTGGGCATCAAAGTTGTAATTTCATATTTTTTGGTAGAAACCAGTGTTCATTAAGCTCTATCTATGTTTACAGAACAACAACAGCAATTGACGCGCATTAACAAAAAGTTCAAGGAGGAGGTTAATCAGCATCTACAGGATTGTAGGAACTCACTACAAGAATTGGAAGCGCAACAGATAGAGTTCAAGGGAACTATGGAAAAGAAAAGTATGTTCTGTCGTGTTGCTTTAAATTTTCTCAGTTACATGAATTGCATTGCACACGCTGAACCTGTTTGTTTTACACCACTACTCACAACCTATGATTTGGGGCTCTAACACTTTCTTGGTTATGGGGACTCAAAAGAGAGGCGAGGCGTTCACTCCGACCCTTAGGTGGAGTGAGACGATAAAGGCAACCAGTTTTTAGTTTTTTTTGAATTATTTGAGATTATTTTACTATAGCCTTCACTTTAAATTTTCAATACAAAATTTAATTGTTGCGATTAGATTCCATGAGGATGTAAGGAGAAACAGAAAAATATGCAATATAAATGAGAAGAAAAGTTTACGTGAATAGAGAGCACTTTCAATGGATAATTATATATAAAATTTGAAGGTTCTAGGCACTTCTAACGATATTATGTATTCACAGAAGCATCACACCGTAATAATCTCTTGCAAGTGGAAGAAGAAGTTGACAAGCAACTTGCGGATGCACAAAGGAGAATTGAAGCCATCCACGAGGTATGCTTCCATTTTTTGTCCTTCACAAAATTTCTGCTCCATTCTGAATGGTAAATCATTGGCACTTAATCATACTGGGGGGAAGATATGCATCGCAAAGAGTGAATTTAGAAGTACGTTTAAGGAAAATACTTTTGGACCAAACAACTGTGCAAGTATTTTGGGGGAAAAAAGTTGTTGATATCAACTCCAAATATACCATAGGTCTACTAAAAGATCTTACACCATATGTGTGTTAAACTTAGTAACCCACTGCTTGTTAACTATGTAAAGACGTGGGCTGTTCATATAGGGGGTGCTAAATGATATTTCATGCATATAATTAAGAATTGTTGCAGATCTGTCCTTCGGGATTTTTGGCTGCGGCCGATCTTTCTTTGTTAAAATTTTCTCGTGCCATGTCATGTAACATTTTATTATGGTATTTGTTTACCTTGAATTTATTGCAGTCGGGAAGAGGAAAGATACTGCAGCTGAAACAACTAATAGCAATGTTGTTGAAATAGGAATGTTAAATGACATACTTTGCTCGGTTAGCGAGTTTGTGTAGTTATTCCTATCCTTTTCAGTTGGCGACTTTGCCGTTTATTTTCTCGTTTGTTTGTGCTAGCTGCTAGGTTAACCCAATTCCTAAACGCTCTAAAATTGTATTCTTCTGTAATCCTTTTTACCTTCATCTGCACAAGCATCAGTACAACCTAGATTGTCTACGAAACTAGTTATTTGGATGCACTTTTGCTCCATTCACGCGTGGTTTGGTAATTATCGAAATCCTAAACTCCATTTTCTAGCCTAGTTTGTTCCAAGAACCCCTTAATCAACCATAAACTAACATGAAAAATTTGGAATACTAAGTTAACATAAAAAATATTTTAACTTATAATTTTGTTTCTCATATAGGTTTGTAACTTATTTAACATAAGAAAAAACCACACGACCGACCGAGTTACCCTCCAAACCTAGATTTCAACAAGCAGGCTCATCGTTAAAAAAGCAGTGAAAATGTAGATTGGCAGTGAACCAAAGTATTTCCTTCAAAACTGTTCCAAGCCATGAATTTAGTATGTTAATCAGACTGTTCTTTCTTCCTGTTGCAATCAGACACCAAGGCCCATACAGAACTCGAACAAAATCGATTGCTACCAAAATTTTCAAACTTCTTTAAGTATGACATTGCGGCGTGCAGCTCGCTATCTTCTTTGCATCTTGAACCTGGATACTGGTTTTGAAGGTTGAGAACCAGAAGGCTGCCCAAATCAACAGTTAGCTTTAGCATCAATGAATGAACTAGTACAATGATGGCAATAAAAATGGTGTAAACTACGCAAACCCACCTGCAATGGAGTTTCTGTTTCTTGTTTAGAAATTTTCGGCACAATAGGAGGGCGCTCGACAATGGATCCCGTGAAAGCCTACACCCGACAGAGACGACACAACACGGATTAACGAGGCCGAATCTTATAACTAACCTCAAAATTATGGACAAATCCATAGCTTTAGACGAACAGGCAGCTAAAGAATCTATACAATAAACAAGCTTGAAAGTACCTCACTGGTAGATGCAGGCAATGTTTGATTCTTTTCTTTTACTTCAGCAAATGTTACAGACTTTGCAGCAGAATTAGTGTTTCTCATTCCCCGAGTCTGAGTCGAAGAACTGTTGCCATGTAACGAACCTTTGGATGAAGACTGTTCTGAAAAATTTGAACACTGCATAACGAATATATACATGATTTAATAATGAATGCTGTTTTAACAAAGAACACAGACAGTAATAAACAGTAAAGCAAATAAGAGGTTGGTCACATTTGATGGATTGGTAGAAGCCTCTTGTTGTTGCTGCTGATACTTATCCAGTAGCTCTTTACTACCTATATCTTCATCCCTCCGACACGGAGATGTACTTGCCTGAGAATGTTTCGAAGCGATCAATCATCAGAAATGGTTAACAATACATCACAAATTGATCGAGTAAGTTTGTCGATAACCATGCATTTCTGGGAGCTTTAAATCTCTAAGGTATTTGATTCTGACACTACCTTTGAATAGCTGTGCTTAGCATCATGAAGCTTCTCCAAGGATTGATTTGAAGTTTCATTCTCTTCCTCACCTTTTTCATCGTTTTGGTTGTCGTTTGCGGCAGCAAGTTCTTCCTCCTTCTCGAGTTCATCCAATCTGGACATTATACGAGCATATTCTTCATCTTCTTCTGTAATCCTTGCCTCATCAACTCCAGAAACACTGGGAGCATCTTGCTTGTTTACTCCTGAAAAGAAACATAACATCATCGTAATTCATCCGTTTTACCTGTGTTTACAAGTAGTTCGTATAAACATCGGACTGTGATTATGATGCATGCTTGGCAACTCCAAAAACCAAGTACATTATTTTGTGAGATCCCACATCAGTTGGAGAGGGGAACGAAACATTCCTTATAAGAGTGTGGAAACCTCTCCCTAGCAACGAAACGTAACGGGCTAAAGTGGACAATATTTGCTAGCAATGGGCTTGGGCGGTTACAAATGGTATTAAAGCCAAACACCGAACGGTGTGCCAGCGAGGATGCTAGCCCCCAAGGAGGGTGGATTGTGAGATCCCACATCAGTTGAAGAGAGGAACGAAACATTCCTTATAAAGGGGTGGAAACCTCTCCCTAGCAGACACGTTTTAAAACCGTGAGGTAGACAACGATATGTAATGGGCTAAAGCGGATAATATCTACTAGCGGTAGGCTTGAGCTGTTACACTTATTCATATATATAATACGATAGACAAGGGCTCACATGTCTTACAATGCCAAACTGTCAATCCTAACATGTAACAATAGGATGGAGATGAGGATAAGAACCGACCTGATCCAGATTCCTGCTCACTATTGTCTTCCTCCACATACTCCTCAGTTATCTCGACAAGACCCTCCTGGTAGCAATATAAAGAACATCAACATCGGCGTCGTAGGATAATCTGGTAAATACAACAAAAATACATGTACTAGCTTCTAGGTAAACCTCAAATTTTTATCAACTTCACGTTACGGTATATAGTTCACCGATAAATTGCTAAGCTTACCGCAGCTTCGGACGCCGTAGCATCAAAAAATGAGGCCTCAGCCTTAAGATCATCCATCATGGCCTTCAGAGAATCAACTTGAGAATCCAAAGCTTTACCTCTCCTTTTCAAGATCTCGACCGTTTGTTTCGATGTTCTCTCAGCATAATAACCTTCTCCCAGAAGAACCTGCACATGGATAAGTCCGGTTCTCAACTCGACGTTCTGAAAAGTAAACCTCACCGCATATTCTTTCCAGAACTCGGCCACAAACATTTGATCAAAAGCATAAACAATGATCTAGTTAAACCCAATAATGTTCTCTTTTTCCCTTAATTTTGCACCAGAGTTAAAAGCAGTACAAGGGGATTCAACAATGAACTTTGAGAGTAGTTAAGAGTGAACATCTATTTAATAGAACAGAAGAAGAACGATAGGAACTACTCTCATGTGCTCGAAAACCAATATGAACATCTATTTAATGAATCCATGGGCGTATTATAATGTTGAGAATTGTTGGGAGGGTGTCCCATATTGGCTAATTTAGGGAATGATCATGGGTTTATAAGTAAGGAATACATCTCCATTGGTATGAGTTCCTTTGGGGAAGCCCAAAACAAAGCCACGAGAGCTTATGCTCAAAGAATCCGGTGTACTTTGTTTGAAAATTCCAGAGAAGGAGTCGAGTCGATTAAGGGAAGGTTGTTCGAGGGCTCCATAGGCCTCAGGGTACTTTGTTCGAAGGGAGGATTGTTGGGTGGAGTCCTAACATATAATACCCTTGTCCCTTCTTTATCAATCATACAGAGAATAAGTTTCCCAGAAGTTGTAAGAGAGTACAATACATTACCAGAAACTCGTTAGTATGAACCAAACGCCCCGGGAAGAAAGCCGCCTTCCCAAATGGAACCTTCAAAACAACAATCACAGCGAACCCACGAATAAATTTTCTTTTGCTATCGAAAAACAACGCTGAAAACACTCAACACCCAACTCAAAGGAAGAAGCAAAAGTACCATGACTTCATGGTGCAGCTCTTCAGGTAATTTCTGGACAAGGTTGATCAGGTTAGCATTATCAGAGATGAAACCAAGGAGATGCTCAAGCTCCCTCTGCTTCTCAGAAATCGCATCTTGGACGCGCATCGCTGCTTTGTGGGCATCCTGTGCCGGAAATAATGAGGACAGCGCCGCCACCGTTCCCTTTGCTCCTCCTCCTCCTCCTTCCATGATCATCCCGCTCTGTGATTCGAGTCGGGGCAATTGTCAAAATGAAGACAAATTTTAAGGGGGCAAAAGAGATCAAAAACCACTTTTAAACACAGCCCTAATCCGCATTAATTTCTAAACTCACCCCTTAAACCTCAAGAATTGGGTAGCGCTTCAACCTCACGCAGCCAGCTCGACGATGACAGAACTCAGACAGCGCGGCGACCTCGACGGCTTGCTCGCGATTAACTCAGACAACAAGAACCGGAAGCTTATTAATGGAAATAAAGATTTGGAGGGTCGAATATTTTGGGGATAAAAATACGATTTTTTGTTTTATTTTATTTTATTTGGGCTTGGCTTGGCTTAGGCTTACAATGAAAAATAGTCACTTACATTAAACTTAACCTTTTTTTATTTAAATTAAGAAAGAAAAGGTTTTTGACAACCGAAGAAGCGAAGATTATTTGATTAGTCAACCATTAGCGGCCTCTAATCCACCCAGCTTCGCGCCAGGAGAAACACGCACGCGAGCTCCTTGGCCCCAATAGGCCAATACACAAAACAACGAAGGAATAAATTATACGATATTGTATTTCTTTATGCAAATTGCGAGGCGTTCTAACTTTTGTACAGGGCTGGAATGAACTATTTGCAATTGTTTATGAGTAAAATTGGATCAGCAGCATCCGGTGAATCGAGGGCTTCCATTTTTCTCTTGCTTCACAAGGTTAATTAGTCGTTCAGCTATCACCATCTGTATCCGACTGTGGGTGTCGTGCTTCTTGGTAGTTCTTGTGTTTGACTCCAATTGAAGCAACCGAATTCATCGTTTAAGCTCTGTGCTTGAATGGGTTTTGCTTTATTTCTCTTGGGTATCTGTCGCCGATTGGAACATTGAGATTTATGGTTAATCATTAGGCATCTTTTCTTGATATGGTGGGCCGAGAAGGTTTTGGTTGTTCGTCGTTCCGGAGAGGTGGATTTGGATATTTTTCTAGAACTGTTTTTTCTTTGTGGGTTGTTCATATTTTGGTTTCCCAGCCTGTGGATGGTCTCAGACCATTGCGGGAGAGGGCTCGATCATGGGGCGACGAGGTTTGTAGACTTCTTCACCTTTTTTTGTGGGCTTAATGGTTGAGTTTATTGATGTTCATTCATGTTCTTGATTAAGTTCCATGTGTTGAAAATTTTAGTACCCATGTAGATTGCAATTTGACTTTGATTTCATGAGGTTTAGATGGTACCCGATTTCTTTGAAATGTCTCAATAGGCTGCTGAAGTATGAGTTATGTAAGAGATTGTTTTCTGAATTTAGAAACTAGGTGAGATTCAGTGCTCGAACAATATTTGAACGTGGCAATGGGTAAGGGGTAATGTTGCATCAAAATCAAGGGGCCGCCTACTTGCTTCTGTTGTGCTAAACTTTCTGATACGCAATTTGGAAACGTGTTGTCTATTTCAAAGACTTGGCTTAACAGTTGTAGAAGTCAGTTCTTAGCCTCTGGCTTTCAATAATCAGCTGATGTGATTCCTCAAGTTGTGATAAATTGTTGTTTCTCTTTTTTAACCTCTATTGTTAGGATTTATTGGAGATAGAAGCGAAACATTCTTTATAAGGATGTTGAAACCTCTCCCTAAAATACGCGTTTTAAAAATCTTGAGGGGAAGCTCGAAAGAGAAAGACTGAAAGGGAAAGCCCAAAGAATACAATATCTACTAGCGGTGGACTTGGGCCGTTACAAATGGTATCCGAGCCAGACACTGGGCGGTGTGCCAGCGAGGACACTAAGCCCCAAAAAGGGATGGACACGTTGGTATGCCAGCGAGGACGCTGGGCATTTAAGGGGGGTGGATTGTGAGATCCCACATTGATTGGAGAGAGGAACGAAGAAGCATTCTTTATAAGGGTGTTGAAACCTCTCCCTAAAAGATGTGTTTTAAAAACCTTGAGTAGAAGCTCGAAGGGGAAACCCCAAAGAGGACAACATCTGCTAGCGGCGGACTTGGCCCGTTACAAAACTTTTCCTTTTCAAGAGGTCTAGTTTCATGTCGTAGATACGTCTATGGATTATATAATTGTATGAATTACAAAGGGTGGTGGTTTAGGAGTTCACATTTTTATTTCTGCCAATTCCCCAAGTTGACATGCCAGGCAAAATTCAATTGCATCCTTTTTATGATCAGATTGTGACTCTTTAACCATAAAAAATATTGGTCAACTTTGATAATATATTTTTTGTTTACAGTGGTTGTTAGTAAGAAAAGACAAGAATGATTTGGGTCCATTTTCTGAATGGAACATTACAGGAACATATAGAGGTTTGTACTTATCCATCATGGTCTGATGATCTTCTTGTTATTAAGTTTTAAACTTCAGCCTCATGGTTTGTACTATAATAAGAGCTAAGTTCTTGCATGGAAATGTAAATTGCAGGTAGTTGGAGTTTTCAAGACTCCACAAATAACTCTTCCAGGTTTCCAGATTTCAGAAATTCCAATGGCAATTCAATCATTGAATTAATTAGTACACCAACCAAAATATCTGGTGTACATTATGTTCAGGTGAGGATATTCAGTGTTAATGAAAAGATTAGACCATTCAACTGTGTCGTGTGTGGATGTAAAGATAATTGTGATTATGAACTAATGTACTCGAATGATGGTAGTCGTTAAAATTGGTAAATTATTGCAAAAGTTCTTGCTTTGGTACATAGGAGTTTCTATGCTCTCGCTTTCCCTCGTTTCTCCCTGAAAATCTCTTCCACGTGAGATGAATCTATTTCATTGTTTTGGTATTGAACTTTCTAAATTCGGACTTTACACTTGGATGGCTGTTAGCGTGAGATCTTACATTGGTTGGAGAGGAGAACGAAGCATTCCTTATAAGCGTGTGGAAACTTCTCCCTAGCAAATGCGTTTTAAAACCGTGAGGCTGATAATGATATGTAACGGGCTCAAGCGGACAATATTTGTTAGCGGTGGGCTTTGGTTGTTACAAATGGTATCAGAGCCAGATACCAAGTGGTGTGCCAACAAGGACGTTGGTGCCCCAAGGGGGTGGATTGTGAGATCTCACATTGGTTGGAGAGGAAAACGAAGCATTTCTTATAAGGGTGTGGAAACCTCTCCCTAGCAGACGCGTTTTAAAACCGTGAGGTTGACAGCGATGATGTAACAGGGCAAAGCGGACAATATTTGTTGGTAGTGGGCTTGGGGTATTACAAATGGTATCAGAGCCAAACACCAAGCGGTGTGCCAACGAGGACGTTGGTGCCCCAAGGGGGTGGATTGTGCGATCCCATATTAGTTGGAGAGGAGAATGAAGCATTCCTTATAAGGGTGTGGAAACCTCTGCCCAACAAACGTGTTGGAGAGGAGAATGAAGCATTCCTTATAAGGGTGTGGAAACCTCTGCCCAACAAACGTGTTGGAGAGGAGAATGAAGCATTCCTTATAAGGGTGTGGAAACCTCTACCCAGCAGACGTGTTTTAAAACTGTGAGGCTGATGACGATACGTAACGGACCAAAGAGTTTAGATGATAGGCGAGACGTGTTTTCCTCTCCTTCTTTTCTGTAGCCATCTCACGTGTGCTCGTGCCTCAAGAGTTTAGACGATAGTAATATATGTCGATTTCTTTATTCTTTTCTCACTTTTTAAATCTGAGGCCTGTTTTATGTCTTTTCATTTGCTGATGACAGGGAGTTGTCATTTTCCATGATGTAATTGGTAATGAACACGATGTTGGTGGAGTTCAAATTAAGATTGAGGGTGTATATATTTGGCCTTTTAGACAGCTTCGAATGGTAGCTAACAGGTAAATTTCCATCTTCATATTTTCTGTGTGCACCTTTTACGACGTTGCGAGGGAAATTTGCGATACGCCATTTCATTTTCTTTCAGTTCCTCGTCATTTTACTGTCGTTCGTAGTTCATTACAGTGGTGGTTTTTGTTTTATGATGTTGATTGAACTATGAAAGCTATTCAACCCTTATCCTTTGAATTTTTACCACAATCCTAGTCTCGTTTTCTATTTACAGCGGAAAGGGAGGAGAATATAAACAAGAAGTTGACAGTATCTTATCGAATCCGTATCATCTGGCAAGACTTCCTTCTTCGAGGATAAATGTTGTTATTCTTGAGATAATACATTTGATCTCATCGTGTGAATTATTCTTACTGATGAAGCTTCTAAATACCTTCTGAACAGCTTGGAGTTTTCTCCTCCCAGGTGTTCCAAGAATCTCCACAGGAGAATATGTGGAGAAGAAGCCACTGTAATTTTTTCTCACTTGGACTTCAACCCGCTTTCGATCAAGTCGGTACTGATTTTGTCTTGTCTTATTGCAGCACCAATGTATGAAATGGAGAAGCATTGCAATATCGAAATAGCAGCTCAAATATCACATTCCTCTTCTGCACAAAATGGTACTTATGATGTCCCTGCGTAGATTTGTTGCTTTCTTATATGTTGTCTTATCCCAATCATGTTCTTTCCAAAAAGCAATGTCGTGTGGGCGTAGCTATACTCGTGTTTTCCCAGTGTATAAGAATTTGCAGACACAAAACACAACTTTCCGTGGCAATGTTTTAGCGTTTTCCCATGTATTCAAGAAGCCAGTGGATTGCTTGGACGTTACCATTAACGGAGCTTAAGTGCTTGATTACTCGTTTTATTACTACTGAGAAACTTGAAGAAACATCTATAAGAATTTAATCAAAACAAAGCCTATGGAGGATCTTGGAAGCTAAATTAGAACTTGAATGGATGTTCACCGAGCACGAGATTAACGAGGATTTTTGTTGTAGATTCTTCTCTTGTAATCCGACATTCGTACCTTGCAGTAAATGGAGAGCATGACCATTACCATATTGAAGGACTAATGGAGAGTCCCGCGGTAGACGACGATGGAGATTGCTTCTCGCCCGTAGTATTAAATGGCACTTCTGTCAACATCGAGATCTACTACAACAAAGCAGTGAATTATACCTTGATGGTCACTTTTGTATCCGTTTCGTGTTTGTTTTCTTACATCGATTTATCGAGTATTTCTCTAATGAAATGTTTATTTGAACACTCAGTTGGATTACTTAACAAAATTTTGTTAGATCTCTTTCCTTCAAGTACTTCTCTTAATTCGGCAAATGGAACATAGCAACACTCAATCTGTAAGGACTTTTACTTACAAAAATTTATTTTGTGGAGCTCCCATGGATTCTGATACTGATACTATACCTCTATCACTTTCTTTTAACTCAACCCATCTGGCTTTAACTTAT